TGCCTAGTTCACATGGCAAAACCTCCGTGGTTGAGGCGGGACTAGAACGTGGTTCTCCTTGCTTATAGTCTAGTGCTTTCCTTCAAGAGGTCAAAACCATGTATGGAGCACATTCTCTCCTATTTTCCAACAACATCCCTTTGAGGAAGGCTGGATTAGGAGAGAGAAGAACTAGTCCAAAGTCCTTCAGGGAGCTTCTATAGCTGAGTGGGGACTAGAACCTGGGTTTCCTTGCTTCTAGACCAGCACCTTCACCATCACACCACACTAGGTCTCCTTGAGCCAGAGAGTACACCTGCAAATCGGTTGAAGATCGACTCTGTTGCTCAGCTATGGCAGATGTTCGGCTGACTCAACAGTCAAAGGTTGGTCTCATATTGCTTAGCCTGTTGTGGGGGGTTGTTCTGGTTTGCAAAATCTGATCGAGGGCTTAGTATATTGTGTGAACCAACCAATAATAGCTTATTCAGTAAACCTGGATCAAGCCAATCCTGGCTCGGGGAGATGGATCAACCTTCTTCCCTCTGTGTCCTTGTACGGCATGCAACACACTCTGCATAATTAAGAAGAACGCTGCAAGCTTAATAGCTTTATGGGTCATGCAAACTTCACCTAAATCTCTTCTTCTCAGCAAACATCTGTAGAGTTATCAACTGCCATGGTGATATTTCCTTTCTCTTAGCCCTCCTTTCTCATCTCTGTCATTATTTTCAGAGGCAGTGGGCGTTGTTGAAATGTGGGAGGGGGTGTCCCTTGGTTGCCTTCAAAACCTGGGCCATAACATTTCTAAGCCTGTTATTGCTATCGTTGGACACCCCCCCCCAAAAAAAACCACAACCAACTCACTGCCACCGGGACTGGTTCAGCTGGTTTTTAAAACCATGCCTGGAATGTGCCTCCTTCCTGTCCTGGAGATCGCCGGCAGGCATGGGGGCACCGTCTGGTTGTTCCTGAACTACTCATTATGGGCTTTGGAGTGTGATTGTAAGCAGATGGAATTGTTCCAAAAAAGAAGAGATACCGTGCCAACATGGCTCCTCCGTTGCAAAAGAAGCCTTCAGGCTGATGAGAAAGGATTGACTGTCTGAAAGAAACTTGGCACAGGGGCTGCTTTTCTCATAACGTAAGCATTTTTGCCCAAGTGTGAACAAGGGTTATAGGACTGTGAAATGTGTAGAGAGAAAATGGGGAAGGAGAAATAATTCCTCCCCCCCCGCCCCCCGGTGCTGCAATGCCAGGGGAGCAATTAGTTGGCTCAACTGAGAGTCCGTATGTTACTATTGTTATTTTTGCACAGGGGGAAAATTACTTTATGAAACCCATGCTAATCCCCCCAAATATACAATCACAGCACATTCACAACTGACACATCAACTGTATTTTTTGGGACAGGGTGAATGCAGGCGTTTGTTATGGAAAATGTTGGGTTGATGATCAACCACCAGAATGAACATCCATTGGTTCCTGCATTGTATTAAGCCATGGTTTGTCTTTCTATAGTTTTCAAATAGCTGCAAAGGCTGAGCACACAGATTATGTTAACTCAGGGGCTGGCTGTTCTTGGACGCATGACCATGACATAAAAATATTTTTTGTATTTCCAAATTCTTGCGAGATTCTGAAATCTCACAGGTGTTGTGCAAGAAGAGAAGATGCATAAGACGTTGTGCAAGAATGCTCCAATCTCATGATATCTCACTGCAATCTCTGACGTTGTGGTAGATTTCCTGATTTTATGAAATGTCAGTGTTATCGGAGAAGGCAGCCCAGCGTAACCTTGCACTAAGCCATACAAGCCAGAGAGGCTTGGTTCGCATGTTACGCTAAATCATATAATGCGGTTTGTTGGGTCTGGGCTTAGCGCTTGCGTGAGCTCCACCAACTGCAGTTTATTCAACAAACTATGGTTGAAACAACCCATGGCTTAGCACAAGGACAGAACTCATCCACAGAGAAGGAGAAAACAGAACGTGCTTGGTTTCATACAAGGCGCACGTTAATTTCAGGTTATTTTAAGTAATAATTAAACTACTGGCTGGGTTCACACCACACTGAACTGTAAATAAAAAAAAACATCTTAGCCCAAACAGGTTATGTACATTCGACTGTGTAGATAGCTTATGATTCAGTATGTTATGCAATCCTCCCAAAACCGGTTTATGTAAACCATAGTTCAGTTAAACATAGGTAAGCATGTCTTGTGAACACAGCACCTCTTTGGTATGCTATCAGAAACAGTCTCTGGAGTGCAATTTTATCCAGCTTGCATATAAGAGCTGAGTCAGTAGCACATTCCTGTTGCATAATTGAACAGGCAACATATGATGGTGATTTCTGTCCATAATGGCATAATGGGGTGATTCATTCTGGCAAAAGAAGCTGAACATAATAGACTGGAGGTGACATCAGCTTTGCCCATCATATTCAGGTGATTAGTGCATTCCCCGTTCATGAACAACTGAAAGCATGTGTCCTCCTCGCATGTCCATGCGTTCAATGTTCATGCATGCACACACATGTCCAGGCATTCCAGCGCTGCTAGAAACGTAATGGAATATTGATCATAAGCCTTAACATTAGACAAAGAGAAGTGTTTCTGTTTGAATTTAGATGATGGTTACATCCCTCATTAATGACTCAGGTTGCTCTTATTTAAAATGTTAGTACTGGAATTTCACAGTAAGTCTCAAGGAATTTATCTTCTTTGCAATGTCAGAGGAAGTGGGGAGATAGGAAGACAAGAGCAGAATAAAATGTTTTATTTCCTGCAGAGAAATGCAGGTGTTCAGCATACAGAAGTATTTCTCAACCTTGGCAAACCTTTATTTGGTGGGGGAAACTATTCTCCCCAACCCTCCCCCCCCCCCTCTGGGGTGGGGTGTGGTGGGTTGG